AAACGAGCTAAGGCATTATCAGTCTGCCACAAAACTGCTAATGTGCTCTCTTTGTTCTACTGCTTATGCACTGCCGAGAGGGGTTCTATATAGTAAAGTGGAGATGTCTCATTCTGCTGATTACTGCCTGTATTTTACCATTTTTGCGATGTAGATAGAGAGGTGTCTTTAAACCTGAGAATTTAGGGCCGCAGATTGCGCGGGCAAGGTTTTTTTTTTTTTTTAGCTTTGTCATAAATCAGTGAAATTAAATATTCCCAATACAAGCTATCGTCTCTGAGTACCACAGTTTTTTTTTTCCAAGCTCCCATGTTTTAAAACGCCTTCTTTATTTCTCCGCTGATACTTTGGCTGGCCAATTTCAGAACCACTATGTTAATTAGAAGTGTGGTTTAGAGCAGATTGCACGACAAGCTTGTTTTATTTCTTCCGTCTTCTTGTGACCCCCTTGAGATTTCGGAGATGGCTGCTCTTAAATTCATTTCTGAGAAATTTCAGCACGACTCTTTGACTGTTACTCGCAAACGACAGGAACACAAATGATAGTAAATTGTTTCACTGCCCAAGAGAGAGATATTTTGAAATGCAATGCTGCTTTTAAAAAAATGTGTTACCGAAAGCAAAATGAGACTTGACAATGCTACCAGAAGACATTTTGAGACAAACCTCATTAACTGATGACCGATTACGTAAAGTCGTAATCGATATTATGGCGGCATTGAAACGCTTATTATTGGTTGAAAAATTCAGTTTGACAAAGAGGTTTTAGAATAATCGTGAAATCCAGTGCATGCAGAGAAATGTTCATTGTTCGTTTGAAGATCATCTGAAAAATCCTGTTTAAAAAAAAATGCGGATTTCATTAAGAATTTTTTCGACTGTGACCAACGAAGTTGTTAACTGTAAATTCAGAAAATGGCGTGTGGCCTTTTGCCATAGAATTGGTTGTGCCTTATGTGATTAAAATTAATCGCGTGTGCAACTGCTGATCTGTTTTCTAACTGCTGCTTTTGTGGATGATGAACTGCATTTCTAATGTCGGACTGTTAGTGTTAACACTTCTGGTGGCGGCATTACGATTTTAATGCGTGTGTATCATCATCATCATCATACACCATTTCTGCCGTTAAGCGACGTGGGGAGGAATAATTCCAGTGCACGTTGGCTGCCACTGGCTATTGTCATGCCGTGAAGGCGTAGAGTGTCTTTAATGTTGTCGATCCATATTTCCTCCGCGGTCCTCTTGTTTTTGAAACTGATCTTCTGAGATGTAGTGCTTGTGATGGTATTTGATCTTGCTGCATTCTAACGAGATGGCCAAACCACTTGATCTGCTGTTTCTCGATGAATCTAGTACAAGTTGTCGTTCCCACAATTTGCCTGATAGTTTTATTATTCACTCGATCTCGTATGGTTAGGTTGGCTGCTTTTCTCAGGCAATTTTGCGTATATGGGCTTTAGATAATGTCCATGTTTGGCACTGGTAGCCTAATGTTGGAATGAATATGCTATTAATAATCTGTCTCTTTGCACTCATAGCTATGCTTGGATGTCTTAATAATGGTGACAAAATGTCACAAGCTTTGAATATCTAGGCTCTATAATAAATAGCAATTTAGACTGTTTGACATAAATTAAAAGTCTACAGTTAAGCACTAGCAAGAAGATGAAAATTAGAATTCTGAGAGCATGCATCTTCCCTGTAGCAACATACGGATGTGAGTCGTGGACTATCTTCCAGTCCTTTAGAAGGAGAATAGGGGCTTTTGAGCTGAAATGCTACAGAAAGATTATCAGAATATCTTGGACAAAGAAAAGGAGATATATTGACGTCTTAAAAGATCTGAACATCAAGGAAGATAGGCTAATAAACAGCATCCTGTCTCGGAAGCTGAAATATTTTGGTCATATCAAGCGCCACGACAAATTTGAAAACATTTTAGCAGAAGGCATGGTACCAGGAAGGAGAGGCAGGGGCCGACCGACACGAAGATGGGAACATAATATAAGTGACTCCTTGAGTATGAAAGTGCATAAGGAGGGAGAGCTGGCGAGAGACCGAGTTTCGTTCAGGCAGACCTGGATAAGAGCGACGTTCTGCAAAGGACCTGCTACATGATGATGATGATGCTAGTGAATATGTTGAGACTGCTGTCTGGGTCAATATCCACAAGGAACAGTGATGGCCATTTTGTGTGGTTTTTCTTTGGCACAGAAACGGAACAACCATGGGGTGACCTGAGTGCTATGAAACTAACAATAAGATCACCAAGATTAAGGATCATCTTCATTGCAAATTGAACATGACCATACATGATCCGATCTCCTCCCGAGTATCTCTTGAGCGATTTTAGGCTAACAACTCCCGTTCTGTCCTTGTTTGTGTAGCGACGGGTGGCTCCAGCGTGCTTTTCCTGTCTCGCTGCTTCAATTGGTACACCCAGGGTATGCAGTCTATTCAGTAAATAATCATTCTCTACAAAACTGAAAAGCTCACAGCGTTTAGTCTTTCCTATAGCATTGATGATGTCTCTGCACAGATTTATGCAATGATTAAATAGAGTCATCATCGTCGTCGTTATCATCATCATCATCATCATCATCATCATCATCATCATCATCATCATCATCATCATCAAGTGTTTTGGTGTAATGCAGACTTTGGCGGTACCAGTTCATAATGGTTTAGAAATTTATACTACGTCCTTATTTGTTGTCTGTATCATCATCATCATGTGTTGTGCTGATAAGCTTAGGCGGTCATCCAGAGGCGCCGCCACAAAGAAAGTAATAATGTGAACTCAGCCCCTTATACATCTTCTGGGTGTTGGGGTGGGGTGGGGGGGGGGGGGGAGGGTGTGGGGGGGGAGGGTGTGTGGAATTGCTTTAGTTTTTTTTAAGTGTTTCATAATAATAATAATAATAATAATAATAATAATACAAATAATAGTTGGCTGAAAAACAAATAAATGTAATATTATATACGTATAAATTAAATATGTAAAAGGGGATTTTCTCTATATGGTTGGAGGAGGGGGCTGTGGCTAAATATTCTTTGACAAATGTATGGGGGAGGGTAGCAAATAGAGGTTCAACTTCCCTTATGGGGGGGGGGGGGGGGTAGCAGATGAGAGTTCAACCTCTCTTACTGATGTGGTGGGGAGGGGGGAGGGGTCCTCAGAATGCCTAAGCCGATCGGTTCCATCGCGGCTGTCTGTGAGTGTTCTTCATGACGACTTCAAATAACAAAAAAATTCGTCCTAAAAAGGACGAAACTGGGTAGTACTTATGACAGATAGAAGACAGACTGACTGACTGACTGACTTTCTACCCCACCAGGACATCACACAGGCGATAAACACCCGATGACACAAAGTGCCACCATATGGATGAGGATCGCCGTGGAGAGGTCCCAGAAACCGCGTTCAGACATTTGGCCATATTTATGGCCTGCCTATATTGCGGCCCCTGGCAAAAGCCAGGGTGGGGCTTTAAATAACAAAAAATTTCGTCCTAAAAAGGACGAAACTGAATAATAGCTATCAATTAGAAGACAGACAGAGACACACAGACACACATACTCACTCAGAGTGAAAAGAGAAATGTGCTTACAAATATTCTAGGTCTGGTGGGAAGGTGGTGAATGGGTCTGACACTACCCAGTCCTAGTCTAAGAGCTAAAATCTTTTGCTTTCTGTAGACCAAGCTCATAGATTTCGGCGCCCCTGAGAGAGATAAAATAAGACAAGACAGATACACAGGCGGACGAACAGATAGACAGACAGGAACGGCGGATGGACATACATTTTTGCAGACACTATCCAAGGGAATTAACTAGCATTAGTACAAGTCCTTCATTACCTGCTGTTACTACTTTCCCCTTTGTTGTTTTTGTTGGTCTTTGAGTCTGTGATGCTCGAGTTTGTTGGTCTTTGAGTCTGTCATGCTCGAGTTTGTTGGTCTTTGAGTCTGTCATGCTCGAGTTTCCTGTTAGCGCAGTGGCTAGGCTCTTGCCTAGCGGACCGGAGGTATTAGGTTCGAGTCCTCACCGAGGCAAACATTTTTGTAAGTGACATTGGCTCCCGCACTTCCCGTGTGTATTCTAGGGCCCTATGAGAATGTCGGGGGGGGGGGGGGGGGGGGGTCCGGGGGCATAAGCATGTCCTAGGGTTGTCTCCTTCGAAGTCGGAGTGCATCTGCGTGAGAGTCGATAAACCAGTAGTCTGCATACAGAAAAGCCAGATTTGTAAAGCGGATGCGCACGCAAAACAAGTCGTGTATAGTGCGACTATAAAAGCTTGAACTAGTTATATATCGCCACCCTAACGTGGGACGCAGTTGTTTGTGTGTGTGTTACATCCCACTAAAATTTTGAACTGAAAACGGGACATCCCAAGTGTCAATTAACCACCCATCCCTATTTCCCCCCGCAATTGTTCTAGGTAACTAGGGTGACAGTGTTAATTACTCGCCTGACCAAGAAATAAATGAAACAATGTGCTCTTTAACTGAAATTAAAGGGAGGCCGGGGGAGGGGGTGCTACTTTGAAACCTGCCATCATCCCATCTTATACATTAACTAGTAATATATTCTAGTATATATTATATTCTGGAGCTTATTCGTAGATTTGTCATAAAACGGGACAATTTAGGGAGTGTTTTTTCGGGGGGAAGAGTGTCTACTGACGAGACGACCTGGGATATCTGATAAACGGGACTATCCCAATGTAAACTCGACGTGTGGTCAACCTAGTCATGGAACAAGACCAAAGTCCTGAAGTGGACGAACAATCTTAACGTTTAGACAGAAATTACTGTGACTACATTTTGAATTTTCCAAGGGAAGAGCACTCTATTCAAGCGACCACCAAGGGAAAGAACCAGTCGTGCCCTGGGACCGGAACACCAGGCTAGGCTTTCCTCATCGTCTTGTTGTTTCTTTCTGCAATCTGTCTCTGGGTTTACAGCTAAAGTCTCTTTCACACACTGGCATCCTCAGAATGGCGGGCCAGCTTAGGGGACAGAAGAATCAAATGTTGGTTCTGGCGGGAACTTCTCACCCAGAACTTGCACAATTGATTGCGAGGTAACTAAATTCTAAATAATGTTGTTTGCATTGTTATTCTTTTAAATGGAGGGTTGAAAAATATGCAAAAACCCTTACCACCACACTCACACGCAAGATAATTAATAGTTGTTATCTTTTGATTAGAAAGTAGTAGAAATGGCTAAGTGCTGAACTTTTGTTCAAGCAGTGTTATTATTATATAGGAGAGTTGTTAGCGTTGTTGTCTTCGTTCTCATCAATTGCTGGTTGTGCGTACATATTACTATTACCGTAATTACGATGTTATCACACTATCGACCTCACCGAACTCACTACACTTCAGGCATTTTTATGCATGCGCAGTCCTCTGATGCGATGCAGCACTGGCCAGCCAGTCACCTCTTCGGCTATCCTCAGACCAACGGTCAGCAAAGATGGCGGCCGCAAAATATCCAGCCGAGCCGCAGTCACATATCAATAGCACTTCCGCTACTTAATATGTGCGCTTTTTTGACGACTATGGCTACCGCCATGTGGCCCCCACGCCGCATGAGCAGCGTGGATTGGGGCTAAACTAGATGGCTAGGACTCACGAGCAAGGCTGCAGGAGATGCGGAAGCTGCTGCTCGTGAGTCCTAGCTATCTAGTTTAGCCCCAATCCACGCCACGTGGCGGTAGCAGTTGTTGGCGGAAAACCGCCGGAAGACCGCAAATTAAGTAGCCGGAAGCGTGCAATTGATGCGTGACTGCGGCTCGGCTGGATATTTTGCTGCCGCCATCTTTGCCGAGCGTTAGTCGGAGGATAGCAACCTCTTCTGATTCTTTCTATGAGAAGTTGGTTATAGTGTCTCCTATTGTGACTTTCACTTTGTTGGAGGTGGGTGGCATGGAAATGCCTCACCATGCTTTTGCTTTTCTCCCAGGTCATACAGTTGTCTTGTTAGTTTAGGCCTAGCTAGTTAAGCCACTAACCTTATGACTTATGTCAATTGTCACTGGTTGAAGTGGTGGATATGCAGGATTTGGCCAATGCGCTAATGGAATAAATATTTTTATACTATAATAATTTACCGGAGTTGGGTGGTCTTGGGGCATGTCATCCACCCCCAAGTGCTGGCTGAGGTCCTGGGTTCAGGCCCTTGTGAAGGCAATGATTTTTGTACGTGGACTTCTAGTAATTTCCCCTGGTATCTGTGTAGTAAGATTGGATGTTCGTGTATATTATTGTACATGTAAAAAATTCCCTTGGCAGTTGGGTTGGAAATCGAAATGAGTTACCTAGTCCTAAATGGCGCTGCCCGGGTTAAATTTGGAGTTAAAATTCTACCCATTGTATTTCAGAATCCTTGCCAGTGCTACGGAGTTCGTACACTGTGCTAAGATTCTCCGGACTCAGGCTTGAGTTAGAACTAGAATGGAGCACTTATGGGTTACTACCCTTGTGCCAGGATGTTGATCCGTTGTTCAAACCAGACTATAACGACTGGAGGTTGTGGTTTCATATCCAAACGGAGCTTGTGTGGAAAAGAGCTCTTCAACTTAAATCTAATTAGTCTAAACATTTTCAAAACAGTGTTTTCTCGTAATGAATTTAATTATGTGGACACACACAATACATTGCCCAATTTATTGCTAAGTTAAGCATATTTCGCTGTATCTCGTCAGGTGTTTTACTACAGAGTTAAATCAACATACAAAGAAGCACCACAAACTGAGTAAATCCAGCGGAATCACCAATAATGTCTTCCGGTACAATATCCGGCAATTAGATAAACATGATGCATAGAAAGTTTAAATATTTGTTAATTGACTGAAACGTGGACCTTAACAGCTGAACTTGAAAGAAAGGTTCAAGCTTTAGAAATGTGATGTTTCAGAAAAATTCTTGGCATTTCATACAGAGACCACATTACAAACGAAGAGGTTCGCCATAAAATTATACAGCACATTGGCAACTATGAACCTCTTTTAACTACAGTGAAAAGGCAAAAAAAGCAGTAGTATGGACATGTAATAAGATCTAACCGCCTCTCCCCCAAAAAAATACTGCAGGGCTCAGTAGAGGGGAAGAGGAGAAGAGGCAGACTAAGAAAGACCTGGTTACAGAATCTGACTGACTGGACAGGCCTCAGGCATGCAACCATGAAGTCCATGGCAACTGACCTCCAAAGGTGGAGAGAGCTGATCAGTCAACAGAAACTGGTGACCCAACGACACGCAATGTTATGGGATGATGATGAAATGAGAGTCTTAACCAGTGTTTTAATTGATAAGAGAAAATCTGTTGGATTTTTGATCAGTGGTTTATGATTATTTTTAAAAACTGTTACAGCAAACTTGGCGTACGACTTGGAGAGATTGTTGTCTGCCACAAGCCTAACAGAGGTATGTCTATCCTTGGCTTTTGATGTTAGTAAAAAGTAAAGATCCCTTTTCATGCCTTTAGGGGTATTGGGCATATGGGAGGCTTTTGTTATTGGTTTCCTTTCACTCATTCAGTCCCAAGAAGATATTAAGACTCCACTCAGAATGCGACAGCTTTGATATGAAGATCAGTCTAGACAAATCAGAAATGATGACATTCTCCAGACAAGAAAGTGCTATTAGGAGGCATAGGACTCACACCCCATGTTGATGGCGAGTGCAACTAGCAAGACCTGCCCGTGTTGCGAAAAGTCTTCCACAGTTATAGCATGGAATTTCAGGACCGTTGTTGTCAACATTTGTGTTTAGTCTGTTTCTTCTCAGATGCTCAGCTCTCATCCATTCTAAAATCATTACTTCCTTCATTCTCATTCCCTTCCTGATGTGTTCTCTACACACTTCTTGGTCCATTTCATTTTGTTCCCACAAGTTGACAGACAGCTGTATAGAATCATATATATTTTTATATATACTCAGTCACAGTATGAAATCATCTGTCACAGAAAGCTGACCGGGTCAACAGATTCCAGAAAGTTGAATGTGTCAGCTAAATGGCACAGATATCACATCTCTGCTGATCACAGGTACAGTGCAGATATATAGGGGGGGGGGGGGGATCAAACAAACCAAACGTCTGACTTCTCATAGAGCATTCAGCCTTGTCCATGTCGAGGTGAGCAGAAAGATGAATGCTTCTTCTGAACCACTCTGGGGCCATCTCTTGGACAAGCTGACTTAGTCCTTGTCCTGTGAGGCCTTTTTAATAGACCCCAGCAGTAAAGGCAAGTCCATAACAGTTGTACCCGTTAGGATGTGAACTGTCAGACCTTCAGTCTCCTTCCTCACCAGATTGTCTTCCCAGACAAATTTTCTGAAAACTAAAGAAGAGCTGGGGCATCTTTGTATCTTTCCGGAGTGCTGTGATAATAATCCTTACTAATATTAGACAATTCCATCTTCAAAGTGTACCCACTGCTGTCATTGGGAATTTTTATATAGTGAGGCTCTAGATTCTTCCATGGTAGAGTGCTTGGTTCTTTCGTAATATCCTACCCCAGATGACGTCACAGGTCAGTCCAACATTTTAGAGAGTGGTAAGAGTGTGTCACAGAACTACATATGTTTTATAAAGGACGGAGGTGGGGGGGGGGGATAATCCAGTCAATATGGAGGATAGACAAGTTTACTGCTTTTATAGGGGCAAATGTTTGCTTCCATCAGTAAGCTGTTGTATTTTCCTCCGCATGTAGACTGAAATGATATAGTTTTATCGCCCAGCCACTGTGTTGAGTGCATGGTGCGACACTGTAAGCTGGCGATTTAATTCAGAATATTTTTTTGACCTGACTAATGAGGTTTGTGTCATGAACTGTAGATTCAGAAAATGGTGGGTGTCTTTTATTATTAATGTTTTTAATAATGTGTTCAACTACTGATTTATTGTAACTGCTGCTTCCAATGGTTATGGGCTGCATTTCTAGAGTTGGACTGTTCGTGTGCTAGCACTTCTTATTGCTGCCTTATGCATTCAATGGGTGTATATGCTATTGGATATGCACAGACTGCATGCAGTCTTTGACAGTTTTTCCACAAGGGACAGTGATGGATATTGTGTCTGTAGATATTTGATGAAACAGAAGCGGAGCAGCTATGAGGTTACCTGTTTGCTATGAAGTTACCTGTTTGCTATGAAGTTAAAACTGCGGTTACCTGATTGTGCATGTGTGGGGTTGTGTGTTCTAATATTGTCTGATTTCTTTGTTGCTGTTGTGCTTGCAGAGACGGTTGTCGAAATCAAGGAGTCAGTCCGAGGCAAGGATATATACATCATCCAGACAGGAACCAAGTATGTGGAAGCCATGCTTGTCCTACGTTCATTTCACAGCTTGTAGCAGTTCTTGTGAACAGATTTGTGTCTTAAGTCGTAATGTCAGCTTGTTTGGTCTGTAAATGTGTTTGAGGTTTGAACAACGGATCAACATGTAACCCATAAGTGCTCCCTTCTTCTTCTAACTCAAATCTGAGTGCGAAGAAGCCGTGCACAGGCTCTGTAGCACCGGCGAGGATCTTGAAATACTTTTGGGTAGATTTTTCACTCCAAATTTTTCCCAGGCAGCGCCGTTATGCTACTCTTTTCAATTTCCAACTGCCAAGGGATTTTTTTACTTGTGCAACTATGCACACGGGTGTCCAGTCTCACTACCCAGAGACCAAGGGAATTACTAGAAGTCTAAATCCAGGTGAAAAAAAAACCCAGCCCTTGCCGGGGATTGAACCCAGAACCTCTAGCACTCGAGGCGGACACCATGACTCGAGACCATGCCGCCTCCCTGTAAATGTGGGTGTAATAAAAGTATCTTGCTCTTTCTCATCATCATGAGCATAGACACAACACTTGTATTCAAATTATTATCCCTGTGTGGTTTCCTGGGCCCTGTATTAGGGAAAACCAGAAGAGACCCACTCCCTAACCATAAAAGTATGTCCTAAGAGTCGACTAATTGGGAGCTTCCTTCGAAGTCGGAGTGTATCTGCTTATAAGGCAAGAAACTAACAGTCTGCATACAAATGAGTCATATCTGTAAAACGGATGCACAGGCAGCAGTCAGGTTCTGGAAAAAGACTAAAGTCCAGATGTGAATAACAACCAGAACTTTCCACCAGAGTTTAAAGCCGGTCACTGCAAAGAAGAAGAAGAAGAAACAGTTATTGTCTTCTTGTTCTTAGCATTCACCGGCTGTAAACTCCGGCAGAAAGTTCTGGTTGTTCAACCACTTCTGGACTCTGGTCTTCTTCCAGAATTTTAGTTTTGCATTCAAATCCGTTTAAGGGGTTACTACCCCCAAAATTTTTTTTTTTTAATTTACAGACTTAGAGCAATTATTTTAAAATGGTCATTTGAAGGGATACATGTTATTACATCTGCATACTTTAAGTGTAAAAAAGCATCATGGTTTTCATGGCAATAGCCGCCATCTTAGGACAAAAACAACATACACTTAGAATCCTAAACTTTCAAAATCAGTCATACGTATTAAACAATAGATAATAGATTCATAACCTTTAATCATATTTAGAGATACAGGTTTAGTTAATTTACTATACAAATGTTTTTAAATATTTTAGTAGAAATTTGAAATGTAGGTTTATTGAAAAAGTCAAAAACAATCTAGCATCATAAGACAATAATCAAATTTTAAAAACAAAAACATTCTGCAATCTATATTTAAATAGTCTAATACCTATAATATTGTTCAAGGAGTATTCATACCAAATTTAAGTTTCTAGTCTTTATGTTAGCTGAGATTTAAGGATTTTACACACACGAGAAATAGAAATATAGAGATGTGAGAAAACTGACTTTTAAACTTTTTTTTATCTTAAAAAAGTGCATGGGTTGGTGTCTTTATTATTAACTTTTCAACGCCAAATTGTTTACGAATGACATAAATTTTGAGTGTAATCTATTCTACGAATGCCAAACTTTACAAAAACGAACACATTGAAAAAGTGATATTTTTGTCATAAATTGGAAAAGAATGCAGTGTAGTGACCCTTAGCAGTCTGGTTTATTTGTATGCAGACTGTTTGTCGTCACTTCTCAGATTGATGCACTCCGAGTTTGAAGCAAACATCTCTGATTATCACTTCCTCAGTAAATCCTGCAGTGTGTAGCAGCTGACCAGTCTTGTGTAGTGCCTTCTGCTTCTTCTTTGTCTTCCTGCGCAGTGCTCTTGTCCCCTTTCATGCTGTTCTTGCGGTCTGTTTATTGTTGGAGATTTACAGTCATCACTTGGTTATCGCAAAAATCTCACTTCTCATAAAATAGAGCAATAACGGGTCTCCATGGCGAAGTGGTCAAGCCAGTTGCCTCAGGCTTTAAAGGTTTTGTGTTTAGCATCGTTCAGTTCACATGTGCACTTATTACGGAGAGCTTTGGGGATCATCAGTGGAGCTATGGAGTTTGTGCTCTGTGTGATGCTCTCGGTAGACAGCTAACTATTATGTGGAGAGAGACTGAGCCATATGGGACTGAACCCGATGCAATGAAGTCAATCCTCTCAACTTTAACTGAAGAGCATTCAGTACCTCAGCCTGGTCCATGGCATGTCTGTCCAGTAGCTTTACCTGCAAACCTTCCAGCTGGCTCACTTTTTATAAACTATCACAAATAATTTCTTCTTTAGCATTCCAAGCTCTTCGGGTTCATTGCTGCAGATATTGCCCGCTTCCATTCATCTGGTCTCCATGATTGGCTTTCTCTTTCCAGTTGGTGACTACACATGTTTGCAGTTCTGCCTGGATGTTATTTCTCCACATTCTTCTTGGTCTACCCCAGTGGCTCCCTTGTGTACCTGGATTTTGTCTGCTATTCTTTTGATGTTCCCCAACCATATCAGTCCATTAGCTCCCTTGGTGCCTGTAATTAGTGTTGATTGAATCAGATTATGAATGTTGTTGTTCAGGTGGACCCAGCCTTGAGTGGGTACCGGGTGCAATCCTGGGAAGTACAGGTAGCCGGCGTGATGCTGACCACATCATCCATCTTGTGCCGATTGGTCTATAAAAAATATAGGTTTAGCTCTACATGCCCTATACGCCTAAATGTTATGAATGTTGTTGCTTCTCTGTCCCTATTCTCAGCTGTTTGCTTGCATCTTTGAGGTGTCCAAAAGATTCATCATCTAATTGTGAAGCAATATAATGTGTCTGGGTTTTCTTTTATCTTTTAATTAAAAAAAAATTAAAATATTACTATTATACTAATTTCAGAAGATGAAAAGTATTTTTTGAAATAAATCACTCTCATTAAACATCAGAAAATTAGTACTGAAATGTTATATCAAGCCTGTTATGTGTATGGTAGTGAATCTTGGAATGTGAGCAGACAAATTAAGAATAGTTTGGAGGCAACTGAGATGTCGTTCTTGAGAAGAATGTTGCCAATACCTTGCCAGAATAACTAACAATCTTTGCCTGGAAATGGCTGATGAAAGTAGAACATTATATATAACAGTGAGAAGAAAACAAAGTAGAAGTTTTTTGGTCATGTGATGAGAAAAGGAGCACTGGAAAGATGGTGGAGGTCTTAAGACAGTGGCATGGAGTAATACCTTCAATAGAATTGATTCAGAACAAAATGTATGCCATCAGCTGGCAAGGCACTTGATGATGGTGATGACTCATTCTGTAACCTTGTTTCTGTAGATTGCTGTTGATCTGATGCCTGTCATTTCAGAAATGTCAACAATGACATCATGGAGTTGATGATCATTGCGTATGCATGTCGGACTAGTTCAGCCAGCAATGTCATTGGGGTCATTCCATACTTGCCCTACTCCAAACAGAGTAAAATGAGAAAGCGTGGTTGTATCGTTGGCAAGCTGATAGCCACCATGCTGGGCAAAGCAGGTAAGTTCATGGATTTATTCTCTTAGCATGCTGAGAAAGGTGTAGACAGTAATGCTTCGAGCAGAATGGCAAGCTTCACTGGGATAGGTCACGGGTAAGAGACAACTTTGGATATTTTCTCCAGGCCATGCTGGCGTGGTGGGTAATGAACAGGCAGACAGACTGGCTGGATCTGCACCACTGGGTGGTGAATTGATACATGACAGGGCAGATGTGGTCAAGGCCCTTTGGGAGCACGCAGCGGAATCAGTAAAGGAAGAATATTATTATGGCTGGAGATAATGAGGCACCTGGGTGCAACCGGAGGATCTGGCCGACTCACGACACTCGGAGGAAAGGCAGGACGGACATATAACCAGATTGTGACCGGTACCATCAGTACCAGAATTGTGCGCTTGTGCGCTGGCTGTTGAAGATGAGGACGGAGCATGTATGGGAATGCCCCGAGTGCTGTGATGTCAATTCTGGACTCACCTCATCTCACCTCTCTGCTTGGTTTTGCTATCTGTTAACAAACAAATCTTACAAATCATGATAGCTGCCGTGGTGTAGCAGCTAGATGCTCACCTGCAGATCTGGTCGTCATGGGTTCGGGTCCCAGACTTTTAAAAATGCCTGTGGCCTCCAGGTAAAGTCCTGGGAAATAAAGGCGGCTAGCGTGATGCTGACCAGTAAGTGCTGATTGATCTGTAAAATATAGTTCTAGCCCTATATGCCTAGTATACCTGAAGGCATGGCAAATGGTCTTTTACTTTGAAAAACGTGAGTTGGTTGAGGGCCTATGCTCCATTAGAAGTTAGAAAAGCAGGGGAAGAAAATACGTTGTTAGTGTTTGTGACTTAGGTGTTGTGAATGCAGTTTCATAATTCCAGCATGGCAGGTACAGTTTTACTACATGTAGTTGATCACTGTTTTTTTTTTACCAGGTGTAACCATTCTCTCTCTCTTCTCATGTGGTCACCGCTGAATTGCATGATTATTTTGCATGTTACGCTACTTGCACTGTGGTTCGTGAGTAACGGAACTGCCATGTTTTTGTTTTTCTACTTTGCTTGTCAGTAGCTTCTGGGGGGAGGGGGTGTGTGTGTGTGGCACCGCCAAGGCGTGTAGAACTACAAAAACATCCCAGTTTTTATACTTATGAACAGTCATGCTATCGGCGCTTTCTACTTCTTAACTTGTTCATAGACGCCTGAGGTGTCTCAAACAGATTCACGACAACACAACCTCCCACAAACATTATTTTCGGCGAGTAATGCAGGCCGTGGAAACGGCCATGGCATAAATGGGAAGGGATGGAACTCATGCGCTACGGTGACATGCGCAGTTGTGCAATTTATTGCCTGGCATATTTCGCTGTGTCTCCTCAGGTGCATACTACAACAACAGCTGATTAAAATAAAGCAAATAAGTGAAACCTTCCAATCGAAACAAAAAATTGACTACATTCAGAAACCGTTTCACCGGGGTTAATACGAAGTGAAGACCATGCTCTTGTGTCTGAATAATTCTGGACTAAGCCGGTTTAAAGCAGTTGCTTCCTAGTATGCACCTGATGAGATACAGTGAAATATGCCAGGCAGTAAATTATGCAAGCTATTGTTTGTGTCTTCTTTATTCAGATTCACAGCAGGCCAGCATTGTTTTAATGTTATAACCTGTTGTTTCTGTTATATCTAGGCTTCTCGCACGTGATCACAATGGACCTTCACCAGAAGGAAGTTCAAGGCTTTTTTGATATTCCAGTAGACAACCTTCGGGCTTCAGCTTTCCTGATAGACTACATACAGACCTCAGTTAGTATCTGCCTTTTGGGTTGTGTGTGTGCTTCCATCATCATCATCCTATTTTACCATTCTTTGCCACATAGGGCTCACAGTCTGTTCCTCAATTTCTTTCTGTCATGTGCAATCTGTTTGGTATCATCGATAGAATCCAGCCCAGTGACACTCGCCTCTCCCAGCAACATTTATATTGGGCTTCCTCTTGGACATCATCATTTCCTTGATCCATTTTTCTGTCTTTACTGGCTGTAAACTCCGGCAGAAAGTTTTGGTTGGTTTGTCCATTTCTGGACTTTGGTTGTGTTCCAGAACTTGAGTTTTGCGTACACACTTGTTTTACATACCTGGCTTACTAGTATGCAGACTATTGGTTCCTTACCTCTTGGCAGATACACTCTAACTTCAAATGCAACATCCCTGATTAGTTACCTTTTGAAAAGTAAAGGAGGTGTTCTGGGCATATAGGGCTAGACCAGTTTTATAGACCAACCGGCACTCGGTTGGGGGATGGGGTCAACATCACACTGGCTGTCTTTACTTCCCTGGACTTCACCTGGGACCCACTGAAGGCTCTGTCAGGACTAGAACCCTGTCGCCGTCAAGCCACTACACCATGGCTGCTCCCATTTGCCTTTTAGTTAGTCTTTCCTCTTGAGCCTAGGGCGGTGTAAAGGGCAGAGGTCATGTCTGGCAGTTTGTTGGGTCCACGGTTGAGCCTTTCCTGATGATGGTACCCTGCAGGATCTCTCTTGGTCTTTTCCCTTTTTGTTTTCCTTTCGGTGTCCATGTAACGGCTTGGAGAGAAGTCTTATCTTAATCATCCTGAATGCATGGCTAATGTAGTTTCAGTGACGCTTTCTTATTTTTTTTTTTTTTTTAGATATACAGAAACCATGAGTTCTTAACCCTTTGGCTCGGTACTATGGATATCGCAAGCCTTCAGCCTTGATTCCATTATAAATACGGTAAATCTGGGAGAAATGTGGCTTTTCTGCCTACCCCCGGGCGTGAACCCAGACCACAAGGAGTTCTATTGTTTTCCAGAGCTACCGTTCCAACTCTTGCATCCATACGTTAAAGCTTTTTACGGCGTGTTTATTGGGGATAAAGGCAGTAAGTCTAGTTTTTGTCCTTTTACACTGAAGTCCTGGAGAATAGTCCATTTGTTTCCATTCAAGTGCCCAGTGATTCCGTGTCCATGTATATATCCGTGTTTGCTGCTAAAAGTTGCCTCTGTCACAGCAGAACATGGAATCATTGCTGGCTTATGTCAGAAAGGCTGTAGTAAATGTTGCGGTCTTAATGGTTCCCCCCCCCCCCCCCCCCCCCATTTGTCATTTTGCAGTGTACACGTCTTCTTCTGCTTCTATTTCTGGTTTTCTTTTCTTCCTCTGCTTCTTCCTCCTGCTCTTCCGCCACCTCCAAGAAAGAACTATATCAGAAGGGGCATTGGGATCTCTTCTTAGAGTTAGGCGAAGAAATTTATAGAGAAGAGTGTAGAAGAGCCACATGGCTGAACAGTTTTAACAGCAGCATTTAAACAGACTAAGATTATGATGGTGCTTATTGTGACTGATCAGAGTTCTTGAAAGGTCAGCTAGCTATGGAAGGAAACGATCATCCTGTCACATAAGATCATGAACAACTTCTTCTTTGTGTTCACCAGTTATACACTCTCTGGCTCTGGCCGAAAGTTCAGGTTGTTCATCCAGTTCTGAATTGCAGTCCTGCTCCAGAACCTGAGTGTTGTGTGTGCATCAGTTTTACAGATCTGATTCACTTGAATGTAGACTGTTGGTTCCTTGCCTCTCAGGCGGATGCACTCCAACTTCAAAGGAAGCTCCCTTATTAGGTGACTCTTACGACATGCTTTTGGGTAGGCAGTGGGTCTATTCTTGTTTTCCCCACAATGGGGCCCCAGAACTCACATGGGAAGGTCATGAACTAATTTACGTGAGTATGTATCTCTTACTTCACTTCTTAACAGTAGCACCTGCTTATGAATGTCACTTTTATTCTCTTTAATAGCTGTTTGACTACCGTACCTTGCACGCGAAGAAAATATACATTTTTCTTTGTCGGTTTTAAAGGGTTTTGCCATGTTGAAGCAGCTATATGCTCGCTTGTGGATCTAAAGGTCGTGGGTTTAGGTTCTCATGAAGTCTACATTTTTTGTTAATGACCTTGCGTCCAGGTTGCCCAGCTTTAAATGTATACCAGGTAAATTCTTGGGAAGTAAAGGTGGATGGTGTGATTTTAACCACATTACCCGCCAAGTGCCAGTTGTCCTATCAAATGTAGGTCTAGCCCTATAAGCCCAATGTGCCTGAAGGTGCGGGTAAAGGGACCATTACTTTTTTTTTTTTTATTGTAGAGTAAAGAATGTTTTGAACTCAACTTCATCTGAAACAGTTGCCTGACTACAGAAACGCTGTCATCGTGGCTAGAAACCCAAACTCTGTCAAGAGAGCAACTTCCTACGCTGAACGTCTTCGCCTGGGGATAGCCGTGATTCATGGCGAGGAAAGGTTGCCTGAGAATGAGGAGGATGATGGCAGGACCTCTCCTCCAGCTCCTGAGGAGCTGCAGAACTCTAACCCCTTTGGATTGGAGTTGATGCCAAGTAAGTTATCGTTAGAAGGGCATAGAGTTCCATTGGATTAGAGTTGGTGCCAAGTAAGTTATCGTTAGAAGGGCATAGAGTTAAATTGGATTAGAGTTGATGCCAAGTATGTTATCATTAGAAGGGCATAGAGTTAAATTGGATTAGAGTTACTGCCAAATAAGTTATTGTTAGAAGGGCATAGAGTTTAATTGGATTAGAGTTGATGCCAAGTAAATTAGCATTAGAAGGGCATATAGTTCAATTGGATTAAGAGTTGATGCCAAGAAAGTTATCTTAAGAAAGGCATAGAGTTCAATTGGATTAGAGTGTGTGCCAGTTAGGGTGAGTTATCATTAGAACCTAAATATTGCACACAGACAATACATTACCTTGTATATTTTGCTTCATCTCATCAGTTGCATTTCAGGAGAGAGAATTCCATTTGTAATGAAAATATACTTCAAAGATATAAAACCGAACTAAAAGTAGATCAACGAGCTTCACAATGTAAAAAACATAAACAAAATGTGAACATTGCGGTTATAGAGCCTCAATCATCACATTCATAAATTAAACAAAACTACATGAATACACAAAATCACTCAACTGAGTATCCAGAAGCAGCCGCGTTAATGTCTTGCCAGGAGAATATATAATAAAGCACAACATATGAATCCATTTAACCATTCTTCGTCAATCTCTGATTATACGCCTAATCCACTCTCTGCCATAAACTGGGATATCAGCTCGAGGTCTTAAAGATTCTCCCAAAACAGTTGTCAGGTCTACTGGCTGTGACCACGCGTTGTTTCTTGGCTCCTCTAGGAGAAGAAAGACTTGCAAGACATGTTTCGAGTGTATGCAGCAAGAATACACTGGCAGAAAGCTGTCTGGCTTATACTTAATCTGATGTGAATGCATTTTCCAGTGTATGACAGAAGATGAGTTGAGTTATGAGTTAGATTATCTTCCCAGCACTCTGGACACATCCATAAGTGATCAGATTCCCCTCTCAACACTTCATCAACATCGCGTCCTATATTGGTTAACAAGACTTTGTGTGCATCTGGTGTGCTTCTTATGCTTAGCTGTGCCGATCTTTACTCCCAATTCTTGAATTCTTAGCAGTGATGTGGACACGTTGCTTCCAAAATCCTCAGAATGTCCTATCTCTCTAAGGGCAATGACAATGTCTGCGTGATCCATGGGCCGGCCATCTTCAATCAATGCAGCACCTGCCAGTGTATCAGCTCTTTCATTACCAACTACGCCTGCATGCCCTGGGTTGAATATAAAGGTAACTGTGCACACAGAAGAGTTTTGCAATGACTCAAACCACTGTCTGCATAACCAGCCTGCCTTGACCCACCGGATCATGCTCAAAGAATCACTCAGCTCACACACATTTGGGAATAGATGGCAGAAGATGGTGACCTCGTCTCAGGTGCTTGAGGACATCTTTTTCATGTTTATAACCACTATTCATTTAAGATGCCTGAATTGGATTTGCGACCTTGAGTGGGTACCAGGTGCAGTCTTGGGGAGTAAAGGTGACCAGTGTTATGCTGACGACATCACCCACCGAGTGCCGATTCTTTTTCTTTTTCAGCATTCGGAGCCCTTGAGGTTCACTGCTGCAGATATCACCCACCTCCATTCATCTGTTTGGTTGGCCTTCACTTTCCAGTTGGTGACACTAATTATCTCTTCATCGTCTTCTTGGTCTGCCTCGTGGTCTACGATCATTTATCTCCCTGGTGTATACAGTTTTTACTTCGCTGTCATCTGAAATTCTTTCAATATGCCCCAACTGTTTCAGTCTATTAGCTCTCATGATGCCAGTGATAGTGGTGATTTAAACAGATCATGAATTTCGTTGTACCAATTGGTGTTTACAAATATAAGTCTAGCCCTATATGCCCAATACACCTAAAGGAGTGGCAAAGGGTCTTTTTTAATTGGATTTGCTGAGTCTACAGTCTGTCAAATTTCTTCACAAGGGACAGTGATGGATATTCTATGTAGTTTTTCCTGGCACAGAAACAAAGGAACTATGTGGTCACCCACGTGTTATGAGGTTGAAACTGCTGTTACTGGATAACCACTGTTCGTTTTCAAATCTGTTCCTGATTTTCTTATGAGGGTTTTGATTTCTAGACGAAAGTGTGGCTGGTAGGTATGGCATGTAATCACAGTACACAAATCGCATTGTCTCTTGTTACACTGAACATCTCATTCTAATGGGAGACATTGGGATTTTTGTGTTTCCAGTGATTGACTCACATATCACAAAAAGGTCAATTGTCAGTTTATGTATATTGCTTTTATGACTAAACGTTTATGTTCTGGTGTCGACTTCATTGTTATGTTAGTGCTTTTTTGTCGGCATCTGTGGCTTGGGTGTTGTGAGCCTGCTGGCGTAGTGCCGGGTTTGATCCCTGCTGCGGATGATTTGTCTTGCGCTGGTTTCAACGGTGGTACAGAGAGGCGACCGTTGAGTAAGCAGTGACAAACTACTGAACGTAAAATTTGCATGGGAAAACCACAACAGCCAAAAAATGCTGGGGCTGGTTCTGCTGCGTCCTGTAAAGGATATGCAACTAACTGTTTTTTTTTTTTTTGTAAACACTTCTTATATGGATTCAAGGGGCCCCAGTTTTTGTGTATTGGTCGAACCCAGCACCCCCCCCCCCCCCCCCCCACCACCCCCACCCACAAGTATACTGTATTCTGTAAAAAGTGACTGGTTAGGAGTTTGTTGGAACTAGATGTGATGTGACAAAAGGGACAGATATAACGTCGTTGCTGTCACCTCCAGCTTAACATTCTAACCACCCTTTCAAGAGGAAGTGCAGAACAACTCTTTTCATTGATCTTTAACGATGGCATTTTGCAGGAGTTGCTGCCAAAGAAAAGCCCCCATTCAATGTGGTTGGGGATGTCGGAGGCAGGATTGCCATCATTGTGGTGAGTTCATTTAGGAAATGGTTTGTAATTTGTAATTAAATAACATTTGTCAAGCTGCTTAGAAGACAAATGGCTCAGGTTTGTTAAAAAGAAGTGTATGGAGAATACTGTTCAACAAGAGGAAGATATTACGTGAAAGTGAATACAACTGAAACTGAAGTAATGCGGGTCAGTGCAATTCTTAGTCGGTAGCATATAGGGTTGTTGTTGTTTGTGATCACTAGCTATAAACCGTGGTGGAAAGAACCGGTTGTTCGTCCATTCCTGAACTTTTGCTTTGTTCCTGGACCTGAATTTTGCATGTGCATTTATTTTACAGATCTTTCTTATTTGTACGCAGACTGTTGGTTCCATGCATCTTAGGCAAATGCCCCCTGACTTTGAAGGATGCCCCAAATCAGTCAACTCTTACGACAAGCTTATTGGGAAGGTCTATTCTTGTTTTCCTCACAAGAGGACCCCAGAACCCACATGGGGAACATGAAGCCTTGAGTGGTACTTGTTTGAAGCAAGTTAAATTTAAATTTCCAGGAAGTATACTTTACAAGGATAGCAAAATAGATCAGGAAACAGAAACAAAATGCCAGTGTACCAGTGCACTTACACACCAGCTAACACCGTTATTAAGACATCGAAACATATGTATGAACCACCAAGAAACAGAATATAAACAGCATATACATACCAACACTGTGTTAACAGAGTCTAATTATAAGACATTATCAAAGGCTAACCTACATAAAATTAACACCATTAACTAGTGTCTGCGCAGAATAGAGGAAGTTAAATGGTATAATAGAATCACTAATGTAGAGCTTTGGGAGAGAACTAAGCAAGCTCCAGTGGACCAAGGGGTGAAGAAAAAACGCTGTCGCTAGATGGGATACACATTGAGAAAACCGGAGAACAATATAATTAAAATGTCTTTGCACTGGAACCCACTAGGGCATAGGAATAAAGGAAGGCCAAAAAACACATGAAGAAGGGAGCTGGAGAATGAAGTTAGAAAGATTGAGAGAGCTGCATGCTATAGCAAAAGATAGAATGCCTTGGTGGGAGTTGGTTGAGGGCCTATGCTCCATTGGGGGCTAGAAAGGCAGAAGAAGAAAACTAAGAAGCAGAATATAAACAGCTTCTGCAGACGAACACTGTGTTAACAGAGTCAAATGAGGACATTATCAAAGGCTAGCCTATGTAAAATTAACATCCGTGAAATAAGAAGCCATAGGAAAGCTACCAACTTAACCATCAGAGACTAAGTGTGAATCGATACTATCAGACTGACCTTGAGAAAACAACAAATTCACTGAGAAATAGATGACTAAAAGTCATCTTGTTAGGTTGCTTGCCCCCCATAAAAGATACAAGTATTTTAGATATGGTGTATATTTCCCCAAGATTTATTTCAATTTCTGTGGCTTAGTGTGGTTAGATTTGTGGACATTCCAATGCTTGAATTTAATATATAGCTACTCCTCATAATGTTTACTGTGGTTAGATTTGTGGACATTCCAATGCTTGAATTTAATATATAGCTGCTCCTGATAATGTTTACTGTGGTTTGATTTGTGGACATTCCAATGCTTGAATTTAATATATAGCTACTCCTGATAATGTTTACTGTGGTTAGATTTGTGGACATTCCAATGCTTGAATTTAATATATAGCTACTCCTGATAATGTTTACTGTGGTTAGATTTGTGGACATTCCAATGCTTGAATTTAATATATAGCTACTCCTGATAATGTTTACTGTGGTTAGATTTGTGGACATTCCAATGCTTGAATTTAATATATAGCTGCTCCTGATAATGTTTACTGTGGTTTGATTTGTGGACATTCCAATGCTTGAATTTAATATATAGCTACTCCTGATAATGTTCACTGTGGTTTGATTTGTGGACATTCCAATGCTTGAATTTAATATATAGCTACTCCTGATAATGTTTACTGTTACTTTATGTATGACTGAAATATTGTATGAAAGGTGGGAAATTAGAATGGCAGAATGTTAAGGCCTGCGTGCCCAATTCTGAAAACTTTGAAAATAAAGTTTGTTTGTTCATTTGTACTCCTGGAATTCCTCGCAGCATTAGGACAGGAAGAGGTCTCTGGAAAGGGCCCTTCTGTTCACTTCATATAAAGTGCTTTTTGGTGTCTCTGATATTTCCGCTGTCAATCTTCTCCATGGTGGACCTCTGGCTGTGCTACCGCTGTATCTGTATGACATTGTTCTCTATGGTGCCCTGTCTAATGCCAGTCTTGTTACATGGCCAAACCATTTGATCTGTTGTCTACCGATAAAGTTCAGTATTGGTTCTGTGCCGACTCTCCTCCTGATATCATCGTTCCTAAGTCGATCTTTCCTTGTTACACCTAGCATAGTACATAACTATTTGTTTCCTCTGTCTTCTGTGTTATATAGTCGTGGTTGAATGGAATCTCTAAAATGTGCTCCTTTTTAATTTGCATCCAAATTAGCTCTTTGAGTCATTGGGGGTCAGTCTTTCATCCTGTAGTCTCATAGACAGAAATAAAACATTTTTGTTCTGCATATTTTCGTTAACGTCCCCCCACCTCCCTTCTGCAAGATGACATGTCGACTCTGCATGTTTTCCTTAACAACATTTCCCCCCTCTTTCTGCAGGCTGATGTTTTGTCTTTGAATGTTTTCATTGCCGTGTTTCCCCTCTTTCCTCAGGATGACATGATAGACGATGTCCTTGCTTTTGTGAAAGTTGCTGAAATTTTAAAGGAAAGAGGAGCTTATAAAGTGCTAGTGATTGCAACACATGGCATTTTATCCATGGACGCACCAAGACTAATTGAGGATTCAAATATTGATGAGGTAAGTCTGTGCTTGTCTTTACCTGCTCTGTCAAATAAAGTGATGTAGATTTTTGCTTCTCTGTCAATACTTTTACAGATATAATGATGTAGAATAGTTCTTTGCTTGTCTCTGTATACAGGTGGAGCTATTTTTTTAAACATCTGAACCTGGGTCAGCTGCAGCGGAAGAAACAGTAAGAGACGGAGTCACCATTGAAGAACTAAGGACATTGATAGTCACAGCACTGGTAAATAATTTCATAGAACATCAAAGAATCAAATGGTTTGATCATCTGGTCAGCATGGAACAGAAATCACCCAGCAGCTAGATCGTACTGCATGTGAGTAGCAGGCTACAAGGCAAGAGGCAGACGAAGAAATACATTGATGGAGGAAGTTAAAGAGACACTACAGAAACACAGTATTACACTAATGCAAGCTACACAACTAGCGAAAGATAGGACACTACATCTAACTTCTCTCTGCGATACTTTTCGGCATAACAGCCGAAGGAAGAAGATGCCAGAGGTGTCGTTGATGTCCCTTGTCCAGTCGGCTGGTCTACATCTGGACAGCCAAGACTTCCTCTGGGAGCTATACCCTCCATTACTGTTCTGTTCAAACCATATTCGGTTTTATTCATGACAATTCATGCCCAGGTGATCTGATAATCTTTACAGATGGTTCGGTGTTGAGAGGAAAGAAAAGTGCCTGGGGGTTCGTAGCGAAAGCCAGTGGAAAATCTTTAGTGCAAGACAACCTGTCATACAACATCATAACATCTAGCATGAGAATGGAGGTGGAAGCGGTAACTGCAGCTCTCTGGTGGCTAGAGAACAAGATACATACACATGTCATAATTGTTACAGACTCAAAGCATGCTGAGAAAGCTGAAGACAGAGATGCCTTGAGCAGAGTGGCAAGCTTCACTGGGAAGGTCACGGGTAGTGAGCATACTTTAGATTTTTTCTCTAGGCTATGCCGGCGTGACAAGGCAGATGTGGTCAAGGTCCATTGGTAACAAGCAACAGAATCAGTAGAGAAACACGATTATTATGGCCTGGAGAGAATGAGGCACCTGGGTGTAACCAGAGGGTTTAGCCAGCTCAGTATACTCAGAGGAAAGGCAAGACGGACATATAACCAGATTGTAACCGGTACAATCAGTATTGGAACTGGGTGCTGATGATGAGGACGGAGCACGCATGGGAATACTGCGAGCGCTGTGATGTCAATTCTTGACTCAACTCAACTGTTCAGACCATTGTGGCAGTTAATTATTGTCATAACCATATAAAAGGTCCTTTGCAGAATGCTGCTGTCATCGCGGTCTGCCTGAAGAAAACTCGGTCTCTTGCCTTATGTTCTGCCTCATACACTTCTCTACCCCAGCTGCCACTTTTATCCTGTGCCCATCTATCTTCATGTTTGTTGGCCCCAGCCTATCTTTCCCAGTCCTGTGCCCATCTATCTTCATGTTTGTTGGCCCCAGCCTATCTTTCCCAGTACTGTGCCCATCTATCTTCATGTTTGTTGGCCCCAGCCTATCTTTCCCAGTCCTGTGCCCATCTATCTTCATGTTTGTTGGTCCCAGCCTATCTTTCCCAGTACTGTGCCCATCTATCTTCATGTTTGTTGGCCCCAGCCTATCTTTCCCAGTCCTGTGCCTATCTATCTTCATGTTTGTTGGCCCCAGCCTATCTTTCCCAGTCCTGTGCCCATCTATCTTCATGTTTGTTGGTCCCAGCCTATCTTTCCCAGTACTGTGCCTTTAATATAGCCTGATGCTGAGAAAGTTAACCTGGTCAACAAAGGCTCGATAAAGTCGAATGTGTTGTCTGAAAAGCAGAAATATTGCAGCTCTCCTTTAAATATGCACAACACAATTGTGTCACTTGGACGACGAAAAGAAGAAGAAAATGAAGCCAGAAGTATTTGAGTAGCATGGATCAAGAAGAAGAAGCATACTTCTATTTTACAAGCTCATAGAATGGTTTCTGGTGGATGGGACATGGATCGACAAACACAATGATGGTCACTGGTTATTATAAATACACTGGATAAGATGGGAAAACTGGCAGAATAAGAAGTCTTTTTGTTGTTGTTGTTGATGGTATGTAATGATAGGGATGTTCTACCAAGGAATTTCTTCTACCTGGTGTCAGATGGTGAGAAAGGTTGAGGGGGGAAAAAGCAGAGGGGACGCAAGATAGAAGATACTGGATAGTGTGGCATTGCATAGAAGATCATCTGTGTCAAAGTTGGTTGAAGTACACAAGACAGAAGGTTGTGGATAGACATGATTATCAGTGCCACACAGCATGGACTGTAAGATTATAATTTGATAACTGCAAGGATTTACCTCTTTTGATGATAGCATATAACAGTTAAAACTGTTTAGGGGCAGTCAAAACTTGTAGGACAGTTTACATTTGTAGCCAATCAGCAAGTCCTTTACAGAACGTTGCTCTCCTCACGGCACGCCTGAAAGTATCCCTTTCCCTAGCCAGCTTCATGCTCTTTCGATGCCAAGGCATCTTCAATGTCATGTATCCATCTTCTCGGAGGTCGACCCCTACATCGCTTTCCGCAAACTGTGCGCTATATCACCATCTTTTCCAGGCTACCATAAAGTTTGATGTGGCCATAATGCTTCCATTTTTGGGACAGGACGCTGTTTCCTATCTCTCTAAGGGCAATGACAGTGTCTGCATGATCCATGGGCCGGCCATCTTCAATCAATGCAGCACCTGCCAGTCTATCAGCTCTTTCATTACCAACTACGCCTGCATGCCCTGGGTCAGTTTTCCTCTGTGTTTAATTCGTGTAGAATGTCAGTTTTTCTTCTTTTTGATCTTTTGTATTCTGAGAATTTTTCTGTAACATTTCAATTTAAAAGCTCTAATTTGTAATAGGACAATAAAAATTTTTTTTAGAAATCCACACATGATGTTTCTGTGATACCGAATATGTTAATTAAGTGCTGATGAGACATCAGCCGTAAAATCTTGGGTCGTGGAATCAAACTCACCTTGACCTTTCCTTGGTTGTGTTTAGGTTGTGGTGACCAACACTATTCCTCACGAGATTCAGAAGATGCAGTGCCACAAGATTAAGACTGTGGATATCAGTGTTCTCTTGTGTGAAGCCATCAGGCGCATCCACAACAATGAGTCCATGTCTTACCTGTTCCGAAATGTTGGCTTGGATGACTGATACAGGTATTGTTTTGTTTAAAAAATGTTGGCATGGATGACTGATTCAGGTATTGTTTAGTTTATAAAAAATGTTGGCATGGGTGACTGATTCAGGTATTGTTTAGTTTATACAGTTAGCATGGGTGACTGATTCAGGTATTGTTTAGTTTATACAGAGTTAGCATGGGTGACTAATTCAGGTATTGTTTAGTTTATACAGAGTTAGCATGGGTGACTGATTCAGGTGTTGTTTAGTTTATACAGAGTTGGCATGGGTGACTAATTCAGGTGTTGTTTAGTTTATACAGAGTTGGCATGGGTGACTAGTTCAGGTATTGTTTAGTTTATAGAATGTTTGTGTGGATGACTGATTCAGGTAAATGTTTATTTTATAGAATGTTGGCAAGGATGACTGATTCAGATATGGTTTCGTTTATAGAATGGTGGCATGAATGACTGATTCAGGTATTTTTTAATTTATACAATGTTGGCATAGTTGACTGATTCAAGCTTGTCAATGTCTTTTTTTTTCTGATGAAATTATTACGATGACCGATCCAGGCGTCTACAGGTATTGTTTTATTGATGAAATTGTGCTATGGAGGGCTGATTCAAGCTTTTCAGTTTATTGTTTTACTGATGAAATGATTACATTGATGACCAATCTAAGCTTGTGCAGGTATTTTCTTTAGTTTAACTCTTTCAGTCCCAAACAACGTACGATGTGTGATTAGCACTTCTATAAATCTAACTCAACATATAATATGTTCTAGTCCTTTTCATAGTTCGTCACAGCATACAGAGACTAAGAAATCAGGCTTTCCCCATTTTTAACATCCTTACAATCAATATACCGGTGGCTTTTCCTAGTGATTATTTATACATATGGGCATCTCCAGTAAAACCTTCTAGTACTCAAGGAGTTAAACATATGAGAGGGAGAATATGTCAGGGTGACCTCTCAATTGGAAAAATTTTTTACACATTTTGACACTTGCCGCAAAGGATAGAGCATTTGCTGGTTAGCAATTTTTCTGCTGTATTAATTCTTCCGTCAGTCAATCGCTGCTAATGATCTTTTGGTATATTTATTATTCTTAGCCCGAGATGTCCACAATTAATTTGACATGTGATATTAAAGTGAATTGTTACACATAAACAGTACACTAGGTTTGGTGAATACTAGTCTTTCCCTCACAAATATTTCCTTCCTGTTTAAAAGTACTTGGAAAAACTGACCTCAAATACTGGTCTTCTCTTCAAAAATATTTTGAAACATTGGCTCACTTATAAAAGTACTAGGAAAATTGACCCCAAATACTGGTCTCCCATCACAATATTTGGAATGTTGACCCCAAATACTGGTCTCCCATCACAATATTTGGAATGTTGACCCCAAATACTGGTCTCCTATCACAATATTTGGTATGTTGACTCCAAATACTGGTCCTGTTTTATTCAAAGGTATCCCTATAACAACCAAATTAGGAAGAATTTGGAAGCAACTAAGTCGTGGTTTCTTAGACGAATGTTACGAATACCTTGAACGGCCAGAGTAACTAACAACGATTGCTTGAAAGAAGCTAAAAGAAAGTAGTGGATAGACATAACTATCAATGCCACAGGGCATGGACTATAAAAAGATGATGATTTGATGACTACAAGGATTTACCTTCTTTCTTTTGATAGCGTAAAACATAAATTTTTGTGGGCCGTTAAAATTTGTTATAGGACAGTTATATACCACAAAAGAAAGAGACAAACACTTTTTTTTGGGCCACCTAATGAGAAGAGAGACGTTGGACAACATCATGACAACTGGAAAGATCAGTGAGAAAGGGGATAGAGGCAGACCAAGAGAGATGATGCTGGATGGGCTGAAACGACGGCATGGAGGGATATCATCAAGAGAGCTGTTCCAGGCTACCAGGGATCGTGATCTGTGGATACACATGAGCGCCTACGCCAGTTGGCAGGGCACATGATGATTATCCCCATAATATTTAGAGTACTTAATCAGATTACAACTGAAACATGACTTATGTCACAGTTTAAACACCACAGAATCTACAGAATTCACTACACACAAATAGAGCTCATCTGTCAATTCAAAAGTCCACTGTGCGTGGAGTCACCTTTATTTTTGTTCCGGGATACGCAGGCGTTGATGGAAATGAAAGGGTTGGCTGGATCCGCTATCACTACCGACGGTCGGCCTATGGATCATGCTGATATTATCAATGCCCTCAGAGAAATGGGAAGGATAGAGGACTTTGGTGGCAGTGAATCCACATCACTCGCCAGAATGGCAGACTTGGGAATTAAGATCGGCACAGCAAAAAACAAGACGCACACCGGACACGTCAGAAGACTTGTTAATCAACATAGAACTGGTACTATTAGCCATCGGACATTGGTGTTCATACTGAGGTAAGGATCTGAGCACCTATGGACATGTCCGGAGTGCAATGATGATAACCCAACTAACTAACTAACTAACGAACTAAGAGCTCATCTGTCTCATAAACAGTATTCATTATTTCAAGGGGAACATAGATTAGGTGTAGACATTTTGCGAATTTCTGACATGTTATGAGAGGAAACAACTTGAGAACTTGTTGATGACTGGCAAGATTGGTGAAAAAAAAAAACGAGAAAAAGAGCGACAGGAGGACAAAGGGGTAAAACTTCTGGTTGGGGCGAGACAAGAACTCTGACCTTATATTTATCATATGAGATGTAGAAACAAGTCAGTCTACATTTATGGACATGGCACATGAAGACAATTTTTCTATTCTCAGCTCCTGGTTGCTGCTCTATCAGCCCTGTGGATCCCTTCATCTGATGCTGATTGGACAAGCTCAGTGACCAACCTCACTGCATGGCTATTAGCCTTTTGTGTTATCTCGTGTAAATATTGGGCGTTTCCGTGTTTGTTTAGTTTTGTTTTGAATCTTCTTGTGATTATTACACAAAAAGTTTGTTTGTAATACAGTATAAAACTGCCTGTTTTACTGTCGATTGCCCATATATTGGTGGTATAGCTAGCAGTATGGGCACTGTGGTAGCCAGTTTTCATGTAACTTCTGTTTTGTTGCTTTCCCTAAAGATTTCTTGTTTGTGTTTTGACTTGATGTCGTAGACTCAGTTCTTGAAATGTCATTTGATAATTTTGCATGTTTTTGGGAGGGGTAAATACTGAAATGTGTTTTCATACTCAAGATATAACAGTTGTCATGATCCTTAGTTTTTTGGTTTTGGAATAGACATTAGTAAAGTTTCTGAGTTGAGTTGAGTCAAGAATTGACATCACAGCACTTGGGACATTCCCATGCCTGCTCTGTCCTCATCTTCAGCAGCCAGCCCAGAGTTCCAATTCTGATTGTACCGGTCACAATCTGGTTGTATGTCCGTCTTGCCTTTTCTCTGAGTATATTGAGCCGGCCAGACCCCCTGGTTACTCTCAGGTGCCTCATTCTCGCTAGGCCATAATCTTATTTCTCTGCTGATTCCTTTGTTTATTTCCAAAAGGCCTTGACTGCACCTGCCTTGTCATGTATCTATTCACCAGCCAGTGGTGCAGATCCAGCCAATCTTTCTGCCTGTTCATTTTCCAATACGCCGGCATCTCCTGGGGAGAAGATGTTAAAGTGGTTTTGGTAAACAGTTGCTTTCATTACAATCTGTCTTTGCTACCTGTGTATTTAACACTTCCACTGCGTGGGTCGTGAGCCTGATAAAGTATGGCTGCATGGCTAGTGACCTCGCCACATACTGTGCAGGTTAGGATTATTGTTTTTCACTTGAAAGAAAAAAATGTCTTTTTAGGATTGAACCTGGGTCTCCTGTGTGAGAGTCCAGCATCTAGCCACTCGACCAGTCACTGCTAATCACTTTTATTATCTCTGTAATTGTCTAAGTCATCTCCTTCAGATCTCACAAGTGGAGAATCTTAACCTGATGCACTACCTCTGTTGCACCAGTAAGGATCCAGTTTGTGTATACTGGAGTCAGGTCATCATCATCATCATCATTTTGCAGGTGAATGGGATAATTTATTTGATTCCCTACTGCTACAACGTCCATGCAGTATTAATTTCTTCTTTTTCCCCATTCTTGGGGGGGGGGGGGGGGGGGTCGGGGGTCGGATATTTCTTTGTTCGTGTGTAACTGACTGCATCTGGCAAACCTCTAAACCCCAAGGTAGAAAAGGATCCACTGAGTTTTAAAGTTTATTTTTTACCAAGTGCAGAGTGGCAGGCATCACTTCAAAGGTCCCGGGTAGTTAGCATCCTTTGGATATTTTCTCCAGGTCATGCCATTGTGTTGAGAAATGAACAGGCAGATAAACTGGCCAGTTCTGCACTACTTGGTGGTAAACTGATGTGTGACAAGATTTGGGAGCGAGTGAACAGTGCCGAGGTACAGATAGATCATTACGGTCTGAGGAAAATGGCACTGCGAGGAGTTACAAGGGGATCTGGCTGTAGCTTGACCCTCAGGGGAAAGGCTAGACGGATATATAATCATACAGTTACTGGTACCATCTAAATTTTAACTCATCGCTTGCTGCTGAAGATGGGGATGAGCGCTTACAGGGGTGTCCCGAAGGCTATGATGTTGATTTTTAATTCAACATTCATACCAAGTATTTGTCTTCAGCACAACCTGTCAGCCATATATTAGTTCACCAGGCAGTTTCCAATGCTTGTGTTAGTTGATTGTAACTGTTTCGGTTTCCTTGTTATGTGTGTGTGACTAATCAGATTTAGAAATGAAGTGTACACAATGTGCCATGATAAATTCTGTCTCCAGCATTTGTGTTTACAGACTTCATTTTACTTCTTCTTCGCGTTCACCAGCTGTAAACTCTGGTGGCAGGTTTTAGTTATTCATCCACTTCTTGACTGCAGTCCTGTTCCAGAACCAGAGTGTTGCACGTGGATCCGTTTTACAAATCTGACTCATTTGTATGCAGACTGCTGGTTCCTTGCCTCACAGGCAAATGCATTCGAACTT